CAGTGAGAGTCTGTGTGTTTTCTGCAGTCACCATAACCCAAATACAAGGAAGAGAACCAGAGTGCAGTGAAAGGAACAATTTTTTCCTCCAGTCCCACAGAATCAGAGCCAAAGAAGGAGAGGGGAAAAAAGGTCAAGTCCTTGTGCAGTCCCTAAGCTCCACAGGAAGGTGCAGGCTGTCAAAAGCCCCCAGGACCTCTGGAGCTGATGTCATGTACTGTGATGTCATGTGGCAGTGCTTTCAATTCCCCACAGCACAGGCTCAGTGTCTCTGAGCAGCACTGGTTCAGGTGGACTTGATCCCCTCTTAGAGGCAGAGCACCAGGTCTGCCCCGTGTCCCCTTGCCAGCTGCCTGCCCTGCTAACCAACCCTTAGTCATTGTCCTTTAGACGCATGCACATAACTTGGGTGACTGCACAAAACCTTAAGAAAACAGGAATAATGCTTCTCCAAATTCTTACATGAAAGATGATACAAATACATAATGAATGGTTATTTTCACATCTTCCTTCCATGCTATGATTTTGCTCCAGACCTACAAAAGGAATTCTCTATGCCCACTGAATAGACACCAGGACTTTCACATCCTGTGCATGCTTGAAAACACAAAGTTAGGAGAAGTCCTCCCTCCTTTTCCCTTCTTGCTAAGAAATAACATTTCACTTCCAAGAGATCCTTGCTTAAACTTGGGAGTTTGGTTTTGAATTCAACAGGATCCCATCAAATTCTCTCAGCACCTTGAGCTTCCTGATACAACTGACCACTGATGAATCCTGCAAGGACTTGTATCTCTGTCACAGTTCAGAACAAACTGAACTACATATGAGGTAGCTGAGAGCAAGAACTGGGCTCAAATCTCAAGATTAGATTTAAGGAAGAAAATTTGTACAATGATGATAACGAAACTCTGGCCAAGATTGTCCAGAGAGGTGGTGGATTCCATATCTCCGGAAACATTCAAGGTCAAGTTGAACAGGGCTCTGAGAAACCTGATCTAGTTAAAGATCTACCCTGCTCATTTCAGGGTAGCTGGACTAGATGAACTTTAAAGGTGCCTTCTGTCCCAAATTATTCTATGTTTCAAATCTGGGACAGGTACATTTCTGGTTTGAGCTGCCCGGAATTTAGAATTATGGTCTAAATCTGCTCTGGAATTAGCCAAAAATCAGAAAAAAGCCAGTTAAAATTCCTAACAGAGCCTGGATTAGAACTGAATTTCCCTGAATTATCTTAATAGAAACAACAGCTGGTTAGTTCAGATATATGAATGCCAATGTAATACTCTATTTTATTTATTAAAGAGTAAAAATAAACAAAGAAAACAGGAAAGGAATTTCAAAGCCAACTGTGTGGCTTACGTGGCTCTGGTACACCTAGCTCTGAAGTCTACTAGTAAATGTAGACTAAATGACCCTACAAACATTACTGTGAAGAAACACAATGCATCCTGGTGATACTAGCTCTCAACACCAAGGGACAGAGGAAGGGATTAAAGATTTTCTCAAGGCAGAAAGACATTTCAGAAGAGGCAAGGAGATGCTTGATGGGGGTAGGGGAAGAATGGTTTAAAAACTAATAACATGTACAGATAAGCCATAATTGTCACACTCACAGCTCTGTGCTCCCATGTAAAGATAAATTACTTTGGCTGTCTGCAACTTCATTAGACAAAAGAGGCCATTCAGATGGACCCAAACCTATTTACTTTCCAGAGCTGGTAGTGCCTGCTTCATATTGCAGGGCCCCACATTGGTTGTTCAACGATGCTGATAAGTCCTGTGGGAGCTTACATCCTGCTAAGTACTTCACTGTTTAATTGAACTGACCTTTCCTGACGATGCCCCCTGTATTAAAAGCTGCTTTGCTCCCCAGTGAAAATGGTTTGATAATCATAATATTTTACTCAGAGGACAGTTGTTTAAGAGCAGAAAATAATCAGCTAAATTGGTAGGCTCTCCTCTGGAGGGGCCCAGGACTAAAATGACAGAAGGTGCTGCGGATCAAGATAGCTGGCAGAGCTGATGATGAGGACAGAGCTCGGGGCAGCACTGGGCTGCTCAAGGACAGAGACACCAACAAGCTGGACAGCTGGGGAGGGGAGTGCAGGCTGAGCCAGCACTGCACACTCTGCTCAGAGCTGAGATGTGCTGGCACAGCTTGAGCTGGGCATGGGGTGGGCGATGGCACCTGTGGGAGCCACAGCAGGAGGGGCAACTCCCTGCAAGCCCAGCAGTGCAGGACTGTGGAGTGCAGCAGCACTGAGGGACACAGCATCTCAAGCTGAGATGGGGAAATGGCACAACACTTCCTTCTGTGGAACAGGCATCTGTCTCAGAGAGAGGTCTGTCTGAAATAATAAATGCACACCAAATTCAGGTTTGGTTTACGAGCGCTTTGGGGACTGAGATTTGAAGCTGAGATTTTCTTGAACAGAGGACCCATTTGCTTTCAGACCATGACTGGCCTGGGGACAAAGAGGTTTGAAGTGAGAGGAATGTTTGCCAAAAGCCTTTTTTCTCCATGTTTTTATCCAGGCTAGCTGCCTTACCAGATGGTTGAGCAGCATCTGGGAGAGCTCTTTGGGGCTGGGAGCCAAGGGTGTGCAAAGAAGCACATCAATGTAGACTGTTAAGCACCCGATAACAAATGATGCTTTGCTTTCAACTTCCTGTTATAAAGCATTTGCTGGCCTGAATGTGCTCTGCTACACCTTGCCTTTCCCAAGTACAGCAATGTGACCATTTCCAGTGGTTTTTATACAGAATTGGTATTTTGTGGATCTCTCAAGTCACAACTAGAGTGCCACATCACTTTCTCCTATTCTTCCACTGCAGGAGTATCGAACTATTTTTCTCAGATCAGCCAACACTTTTCCTTCCTTGTAGTGGCTCAGACCTGCAGGCACTCAAAGAATGTGCTGTTGAGTAAACTAAAATTTTTCTTGTTCTTTACTTACAAGGACATTTCAGTTGTTTTCCTCTTTGTGTTAAAGCTACTCAGGACAGGACAACACTTGTATTTTCCCCTCCCACAGAGGGTGTTTTGATTAGCTGTATCTGGTTGAGTCCCTAGGAATGTGGGATGTGTGGGAGCTCCCATGGACTCCTGGTGCCAGGGTGCTGAGATAAGGCAGCTGCTGCAGATTCATGGATGAGAGCCTTTGCAGTGGCAGGGCTGACCTGTGAGAAACACCATGGCAGGCCCTGGGAGATTTACTGCACCCTGGGGCCATCTGCATTGGCTCCCATGAAGTGGATAGGCAAACAAAAACTTCCCTTCTCCAGGATGAGCCAGAAAAAATCTCTACCAGGGCACTGCACCCTTCAGCAATGTCCTGCTTTTTCCTGCTTGTGTTAGAACACCTTCTCAGCTATCCAGTCAAGCAGTCACAAACAGCCTGCTTGGCCTTTGGAGGGCTACCAGAAGCCCACCACCCAAGAAGGTAACTGGGTTCACCTTCCACATTGTGCTATCCTCTCTTGAGGATTCAATAGATTCAATCTCCAAGATAACCATAGCTGGCCCTTGAAGGTCTACCTTTGCCTCATATTTCTGTGTCCATGAACCACAACAGATGAATTGAAGAGTTCTGTCAGTGTAAAAACCCACTGAAATAAAATTAACCCAAGGAGCTAAAATTGCAGTTTAACTGCCAGGGCTCCAGCTTGATTTTATCAGCTCTCCTTTGAATGGCAATTACATTGTGAACCGATCAGTTCAAGGCTAAATCCTCTGTGTCTTCTAATTAAATACTCATCATCTAAACATTTGTCTTATTCTTAGTACTTCTACTTATCAATTTAATCAATTCCCCCATTACTCACCTATCTACTTTAGCCTGCATTTTGCCATTATCATTTTTTTCAGGTGATGCATGCAGTTCTTTTTCACTACAACTGCCAAGCAAAGAATACATCTTATCCAGAATGTCTTCACACTCCTGTATCTCTCAGCTTTAGAAAGGGCATTTAAGTTGCCTGATATTCACAGGGGACTGCCCTGAAACATCGTGCACATTCCTTCTCTGCTGGCCCCAAGGAGCAAGACTGCATTCAGGAAAATAAGAGTATTTGATGCTGGTTTGAAAAATTCATTGCCTAACCTTGTATAAGTGGTCCAAAACATCTCCCCTGAGATGAAAGTATTTTGTTAGTGGAGCATTTTGAAGAATTGCTTTTGAATGCCAATTAAAAAAAATCCCCAAACCCAGGAATTCTTTTCATTTGCTTTTGGTAAATAATAAAAATTATTATGAGGAGGATATATTTTCATTGTGTCCCTAGTAATATTTGCCAAATGATCCCTTCTTCATTTTTCTTTTTTAAAAATTAGAAAATTATATTTTCACTTTCCAGAAGGTTATGCAGCTTTACCCTAGCTTATAGCAGTTTTTCTCAAATTATCTGTTTTCCTCAAGGCATTTTCCATGTACAGTTTATCTGTAAAAATTTCCCTGATAAATCTGGAGCCTTAGGAGGGAAGGATTAAGCTCATTGCATTGCCTACTGTCCTATCATTACTCTAAGGTATTGTCTGGTGGACAAATTTCTAGCTGTGTTGGAGGGAGCTGCTGCATTTGGGGTTTGGCAGGGGGATATAATTAGGTATAAAAAAAAAATTTAGAAAGTGTATTAGCCAGGGTTTTGATCTGACATTGGCCATTCTGTAAATATGGCAGACTGATGACAGGTAGCACAGACAGACAAGCTGAACTGTACAGCACTTTTTCATCTGTGCTTTCTCTGAGACATGGCTCCAGCTTGCAGAGCCTTGCAGACTTGTAGATTTTGGAACATTTGTTCCCAGAGGAGCCTTAGCCTGTTATAACAGATAGATTCAATGAAAATATCATTTACCCAGCTTGAACAGATATCCTCAAAGTCACTTCAAACTGTGCATCTCCTTTTTCTTACAAGTGAGCAGTGACAATGTGATAGTAGAATATCATATTAAAACTGAGAGTTTCATTAGCAGTAGTTGCATAAAACCAAAAACTAACCTGTGCATCTTCATATGTATATCTCCCTGGGTCTTTGACATTTTGGCTTGTTTTTTCATAGCTGTGGGAATCCAGGTTAATAGCACTTTGGGCCCCAGGAGCTAGAAACTCTTGCCAGATTTCTTCCACTCTTGTGGTCACATCCTGTAAAGGTCGTTTCTTGAGATCTTGGACAGCCAACCAAAACCTGTACTAGGCAAAAATTAAAAGGGCAGAGAAGAGAAAAAGACAGAAATCTAGGTAAGATTTTGGGAATAAGTCTAGGCAGAGTCCTAAAACAGACATCGAACCTAATCCTACATCTATCAGAATTCACAGAAGACTCTCCATGTTAGCATGATTTCAAGGGGATGTACTTTACATCAACCCCTTATATTTTGGCTAAGACCAGAACACTGACCTTAAGAAGTGATACATTCTAATTCAACTGCCCCTGCAGAAGTGTCAGATTAGGTAGGCAAACAGGAAACCTCCAGAGCTATGCAGCTGGAGGAGAGGAGGAGGCTCTGCCTCCCACAGTCCCACTGCAATGTGCTGGTCATTCCTGCCTGCAGGATTCGTCATCCACAGGGATTAAAATGAAGAACAAACTTAACATTCATATCATTTCCAGTGTGAAGTTGTAGCAATGCCACTTAGAGATTTTTTTTTACTTGTAAACTGACCAGCATTCAGATGGATGCCATGAGAAAAGATGACTCTTGTCATGCCATACTCCTATTTTACAGGGGTATTTCCTTGACTAGGCTATGCTTACAGACTAAAGTAAGTTCATAAATACTGAGAAGATAATCCCCTTGATGACTAAGGACATAATCCATATCTAGATCTGTGAAAACAAAGACCACAGAATATTTTGCAAGAGCAACATGCATGTCTTTTGTCTTTTATCCTAGGAAAAAGAAAAGACATTTTGTTGGTGGTGCTAGTTTTATTTATTGCTAAAAGAGATATGCTCTTTCAGGTGATTAATTCAGAAGATGCATGGTGCCCAGTAGCCTTTTATTTAGGTCAACTCTATCTTCCAGCAAGAAGGCATCCCTGAAGGGTATCTGCCCTGAGTACCTGGGCCCTGCAACCTGGTTGAGCAAGCACAATAGTGCTCCACAGAGAGTGCTGAGGGCTACGGGGCAAACAGGTACTGAAAGCACCTTTGCAGCCACCTGCAATAGCCAGCTCTTTCCTACCCCCTGGCAAACGTGCCCATTGTCCAGGTTGCACACTCTCTCTGCTGGGCAGACTGTGCAGAGGGGACAGGGAATGTCTGGGTCACTGCTTGTTCAGGGCATCTGCAAGAGCTGCACAACTTGGAAAATCCTGTGTCTCCCTTATAAACCAGTTGAACCGTAACCGAAGTCCTGATTTCTCACCCCAAATGATTCAGTGGTTTCAGTGTGCTGCCACTAAGGCAAATATTCCTCCATGGTGAAGGAGGAAGACAGAGTCTGTCCCAAACAAAAATCCCGATGGCAGTGAGGATGGGTGGAGGAGACAGCAGCCTGATGACTCCTGTGCTGTTCCTCACTCTAGCTTCCTTAATGGCTGCAGGCAGTATCTAAACACCCTGGAATCAGTGGTGTTATTGCAAACAAATGAGGCAGCTACCCCATTTAGCCTAGTATCCTAACTGCAATAGAGGCAAACAGTCAGTTTGGGGGGAAAACGACATCCACACTACAAGCAAGGCCAGGCTAAATCCTCCTTGCCTGTCTGCTGCTTCTTCCCGACCATCAGGGGGCCTCATGCCACAGCCCTGACTCACCCAAGCCACTTGATGATATTCCTTCCTATGTTTTTTCCATTTCCTTGACAGGCTCAGTAAAACAGACTGGGGTACACTCCAGCACTATATCAGTACCTTTGGAGTCACATACTTGTGGTTCTAACAAGGTGACATTTGATTTCAGGAACTGAAATAGAGTATCTGGGGTTGGTGGAGGAGTGGGCATGGTTGGTGCTTTTCCATCTTTGAGAGTTTAGTGCACCTGATATCCTGCCTTGTCATTTGAGCAGTGACATCCCCACTTATCACATACGTGCAGAGAGTGAAGGGTGGCACTCACAGCGCAGTAATCTGATGCCATATGTGGTTTCCGTTATTTGAAAATACTTTAGCATTCAATTTCAGATGTAATAGGAACATGTGAACACAGAAAAGGCATAGGAAGAAAAGATGCTAATCATTCCAGAGTAGCTGGGACACTTCAGACAAACATTTGGCTAGAGAGAACCTTTTCTCCTGGCTTATCTTCTGCCCCTGGAGCTGGGGAGGCGGGCTGGGAAAGCACGCTTGTGAGAGAGCTGGGAACGCTGAGAAGTGACAGCTTGCCAGAACAGGAGCACCATCCATTTTAATAACCATTTGGCTCAATCTGAAAACCAACCAACCAGACCAACTTGACAGTAACAAGAACAAGCTCTTTTTACTGCAAGCAATTGTGAATTCATGCCCAAGGCTGGATGCCCTCTTCAAGGCAAAGGGGAGTTTTGTCTTGGTAAAAATTTCAAAGCTATTCACTATAGCTGGCATCTGAAAATCAAGCAACATCAAAGAGGGGTACCCAGTCCCCCAAGGCTTCAACTCCAAGGCAAATTCTCTGCCATGAGGAATCAACCTGAAGCCAACACATAAGCAGGGTTTCCTATGGGATTTATAGCATTTACAAGAGAGAAGCAGGTATTTCTACTAAGGAAAGGAGCCAACCTACAATGACTGTGCTGGAAATTCTGCTCAATTATAAAGTGCAAATGCACTCCCTGAATCCTGCAATTTCTGAAGCACAAGTTCACAAGGAGTCAGGTGAAAATCCTGCATTGCCTCCTCTCTTTCTGTAGGAGACAGATGTCCAGCGGACACCTTTGCACAGGGCAGGGGAGAAGGGAGATGTCCTTGTATGTCCTCTCCACAGGTGCCCTTTAAGCAGAGCAGGACTGGCACAGGGACTGTCTGCACAGAGGGAGCAGCAGCATTGATCACACGTTCTTTGTCCTTTATAAAACAGCATGTAAGGACTGGAGAAGGCTGATAATATGGTGTCCTGAAGTGTTGTCAGTGGCAAAACCCATTTCAGCCTCATCCAGCTTGTAATTAAACTGCTGTCACTTGCAGAAGATATCCTACAATGGCATTTATCCTCCACAGCTCCCCCAAGGCACAGAGAGCTCCTGGACCTCTGCATGTGCACTCTGCCTCCCTGCAGGGCACTGCAGAGGTGCTTGGTCACTGCTGTTCAAAGATGTCCCCCAGTGAAAAGGCTGCTAAGGAAGGACAGGGTGAGTAGCAGGGGAGTGGCTGCTTCTGAGGTACACTGTAAAACAAACATTTATTTTAAATCCTCATCAGGAGGCAAAATATGGATGACTCCAGAAACTGAGGAACAAGAGTCAAGACAAGGGCAATGTTGTATCCTCATCTTGGGGGTGCACACAACACCTCTAGCTTGACAGTGAATTCATCAAGTGATTATCTGAGGTCAGAATCCAAGCACACTTCTCTCTTTGCCTCAGTGGTTCCATGCCAGTATCCCATGCCCCTCCGGTCTCACATCTCTAACCATTCACAAACCGTCTTCCATTCACCAAGAACTAACTTTGAACATCTCAGCCAGGAAATGAATGAAAGCAACTGATAAAAATCAAAATGCAGTTCAGACAGGGGCAGTATTCACATCTTTGTGTTATTTAGTGGTCAGATCCTTGGCGTGGTGAGCTTGGTATGGCCAATACAAACAAAAATCTGTCCTTGGCGAGCAAGCTGGGGTCTGGCAGACGCTGCAAAGCTGCACGCTGGAGCATTGGGGACCTGCCAAGGAGACCGCAGTGTCGGTGGGGACGGGGCAAGCGTCCCGCAGGCCTCCCCCTCCACTCCCCTTCTCCTCTCCCCTCACACGCGGTGCAGGGTGCAAGTCCCTCCTTCTGCTGCAATTCCTTTCAGTGCCGTGGGGCAGGACAGCCCTTTTGTCGCTGCCGCGGGGCAGCGCCCGCCGGCCGTGCGCAGTGTCCGCCGAGAGGCCCTGCCCGGGCCCGCTGAGGGAACCGCGCAGCGCGGGGCGATGGCGCCGCCTGCCGGCACCGCCCGGCTCTGCCCGCACCATCCCGGCTCTGCCCGTCACATCCCGGCTCTGCCCCGCACAGCCCGTACCATCCCGGCTCTGCCCTGCACCGCCTGGCACTGCCCGCCCCATCCCGGCACTGCCCCGCACTGCCCGTCCCATCCCGGCACTGCCCGCACCGCCTGGCATTGCCCGTACCATCCCGGCGCTGCCCGCACCGCCCGCACTCCGCTCAGCCCTCCAGCTCTGGCACTGCCTCCGAACTGCCGGGGCAACGTTCTTAATTCAGGGAACACGGGACTTTGGGGCGGCCCGGCGTGTTTACTGCATATATGAGCTCTTCTCCCTGCCTGAACTTCACGTTTCCTGATGAAAACTGGGCGGGGGGGAACCTGGCAACAAGTTTCAACCATTAGGAGTCATGTAAGCTATAAGCACTTTCTGTAGGTAGAACTCCTTTCCCGCGATCTCCATGTTCAACATATGTTCACAAGCAATAAGGCCCAGGGCGCCTGCATCCATGCATTGCCAGCTCCACAGAGCATTCCCACAAAGTGTCACATGCTTCCCACTGAGGTCTATAAACAGGTGTGCAGCCTCCTTTCCCTTCAGGTGAAATTCCCATGTTCCATATTCCCACTTTGCTGTTTCCAGCTGACACTCTTAAAAGTTAGGAGGGAAAAAATTCAATCCACCAGCTAAATTAACATCTCAGCAATCTCAATATGTCTCAGAAGGTTCCCAGGTCATAAAAAATGTATAATAACTTTCTGATGCCCTTTCTTTTCTTATCCTTTCTTATTTATTTTGTTTTAAATTTGGCATTTTGTCAGCTATATTTTGGGTACTTCAAAAATCACCCAAGTCAAAACAAATTGTAGATGGAAGATAACAACAGAGAGGAGAAAGAAAACAGAGCAAGGAAAAGAGTTAAAATAAAAATAGAGAGAAATATAACCAACTGACTGGCTTTCCTGCTCCCACATAAATAATGGACAGCCAATAAATAAGTTACAGGGCTCAGCTGAGCCCAGGAGACTGGTGGACAAGATCCTGCAAGTTTATTAGAATACAGACACACAGCTGGAAGGTGATCTGGGAGGTCATCGAGTCTAGTCTGCTGCTATCTCTGGCAGTGCCTCACCCAAGGCCCCCACTGGGACCAATTTTTCTCAGCTAGGAAGAGATGGAAATACCCCACCACCATCAGCCCTGTGATTTGGGACTTGCACCACAAGGTATGAGAGCTGAATTTGGTCCCCTTGCTGGATTGCTGAATTACATTCATTTTAAGGCATTCTCAAGCACACACTTCACAAAATCTTTTCTAGTGCTACCATGAATTTCTAGGTTTTCCAGCAGTCAATTTCTCAGATCTGCCTTAAATTCAACATATTATCTGCCTTAAATTTAACAGTTTATAGGACTCTGGCCAGTGTTAATCCTAAAGATGCTCCCAAGATCCTACTGGCACTCCCAAGAGATAATACATCCCTGCTGCAACAGTTCCAAGATCTCTGGGTAGTTACTGGGAAGAGAATTCAGAGAAGATTAACTTTTATTAATCTGTATGTTACTTTTCTAGCAAGGTGCTAAGTGCTGTGCTCTCAGAAAATTTCTTACACCTTCCCAGGGTTTGGGTGGGATGTGTGTCATTTTACTGTAGTTGTCTGCCATGCACTCATTTGAATCAGTCTCTCTAGGTTTATGATAACAAGAGATGGATGCTTTCTAGTGTAATTTAGGTGCTTTTAGTTTTGTTTCCACTTAAAGTTGAAACAAATTCTTCTCAGGTCACTCACTGACTCCTCTTCAGCTTCTCTTCTCTCTCTCTAAAAGGATATTTCATAAAAAGAAAGCATGTGCTTCTGAGCTGTTGGCTTACATGAGGCAGATCCCAACTTTGCTGTTGAGTGTAACTTAGATTTTGCTTGCCTGCATAAGCATCGAGCAGTTACTTTCTTTTTTTGGTACATATTCCTAGTGAGAATTAAGGAGCTTTCTCTGCCTCACCTGAACCCTTCTTCTCTCAAGCATCACTGCTAATAATTCACTCTATTCCAGTTTTTTCATGAATATTTCTGCCTTTGCATCCTTTTATTTAAGACTTTAAGCAGGCTTGCTAATGTATCCAATATGAGATAATACCACGTAAGGCAATACCATCATAATGATACCATAAGAATGACAGCAAAGTTCCCATATTAAGAATCATGCCAATGTCTTCCACAAAGGAGGCAGGATTTAACCTGCCTATGCCAGCCCACTGATTTTGCCAGCTCCCTTCACTACATCTCAAAATCAAAGAGAATGTGCATCAGCAGGAGGAGCAGCTCTGACTGACCAAGAAAGGTAGAAGTTTGCCTCCTCATAATCAAACTTTCTCCATTTGTTGGAGTAGGATGAACATGGGGGAGAGATGCTAGTCATAAAACCTGCTGGATCTCATTAGCACAACTCCAGATTCATTTCAGAGCACTAATTTGAAGAGTATTTTAATTCAGTATATTAATTTTGCACTTCATCACTACAATTTAATTGCAAATGAGTGCTGCTGTACATAACTGCAGTAAGCATATGCAAGTTCAGTACCTGTTTAGCAATAAAATTTCAAGCTCATTTGTGTAATTAGTAACATTCCCTTGTTTTCTTACAGGTTATCTTTCGGATTTTTCAAAACAATAAAGTGCATTGAGTTTTTACTGTTTTGCTGCTGGCATGCTTTCTGTACTTCTCCTTGGACAGGGAAACCTGATAAATAGGATGGTAAGTTCCAATGTCATCAGAAATCACTTTCTGGGGAATTCCTCTTTCAGGTCTTGCAGGTTAGTCAACTGCACTATAGTGACAATTGTTCACATGCTTTAGTAATGTATTTTATTTTCTAAGTGAAATAGAATGAAAAAAAACATAACTAAAAAAGGCAGTGCAGTCAGGTTCTTATCTGTTGGAAAAATTGAGAACATCAAGTCTGCTCACTACAACCACAGGCCAAAGCTGGACTGACTTGTTCAGCCCAAGAGCAGGCACAGTTCTGTCAGTGAACCTGCAAGCTTCTCTGGCCTTCCCTGCAAATGCTCACTTAGCCTTCTGGAACATGACTGCCCCAAAAAAGCCCCACAAGAACCTGTCCCTTTACCCCTTCTTGAGCTGAGACACAACCACAGCACCACTACAGCACCTCTGTAGTGTTATTCAGTAAAAAAGTGGAGTTTACTGGCTCTCAGTCTGATGTAGGACCATGTGCATAAATACATAATGTTTCATAACAGAAGTTCTGACTTCTTCACAACTTGAGAAGTCAGGTACTCAGAATCCCCACACAGAGAATCCTGCTAAGGTGCGATATGCTGTTGGATAGTTAGCACATGCCAAAATTAAAAGTAGTTGATGCAAACCTGATTGCAACTAAGAACTGCAAAGTTCATAGCCACATGATATCCATACTGTTTCCCTACCACAAGCACTGCTCATACAGACACAAGTAAATACTATATATTGTTAGGGGGCTCAGGAGCAATGTGCTGCATCTCATCACATCATGCAAGTCTGCAAGCCCTTGCATGCAGAAGATACCTGACAATACTGGCTCTGCTAAACTGCTTCTGAGATTACTCACATAGGTCTAGTATAGGCGTCTGTAGCAGTGCTATGGGCCAGACCCTGCCATTCTCATCTTTATTCAAATGGGTGTTTTTAGCAGTTCCAGACACACCAAACATTGCATTTCACCTATACAAGAGAATAGGATCAGGACCATTCATTTAGTCAAGTCTGAAAAGGTTTCACCTGAGGTTTTCTGAGCTGAACTCTGATTCCAGGAAACGAAGGAACTGGTCTCGTCCTACTGGGTCCTTCAGCACCTCATCCATGGAGAAACCCCATCTTTTCACACGCTGCTGACTAGGTTCTTTGCTGTTTGGAGAGAGAAGGGGAAAAACAGATGGAATGTGCATCTCTGCCTGCTGTCCAAGCAGCTGCTGCTGTTTCTGCTAAGTGAAGGGAAGAAGATTATTAGATGAGATGTTGTTTTTTTATCAAGATTTTTCAGAAATACAGGTTAGCAAATAACAAAAAAAAAACCTATAAAGACCAGGATCAACATTAAAGCAACTGGAGGACTTTAAATCATTACATCATTTGAATCATTAACGGATGCTATTTGGGTGCCACATACATGGTGACATAAGAGAGAATGTGAATGATATTATTTTCAAAGCAATTTCTGGTAGGTTTCATTTGGAAGAACAGCATACCGTGCCTAAATGGATATACCATTTCTATTAATACCATACCATTATGCACTTCTTGCATATCTCCTCAAATGTACCTTAGGATTTCTTATGCATCAAGATAAAAATTTCCCAGCAATGTTCCCTGGGTCACTGGTGGGCTCCAGAGCATTTCCTTGTGTCCCACAGAGTACTGCCTGGTCACTTGAAAATGGCTTCAGATTTTCAGATCCATAATTGCATTAGAAAAGCAGTTCCACTAAGAAGCAGTGCAGGCAAAGTATCTAAAATGATTACTGGTTTGTGGTCTTTCATTTTTTAGTGCCTCTGATTTTTGCATGCCTAAGTCTCAGAAGACTAAAAAACATCTTCCTCCTACTCCATGATAATCAGACTTTTATTTTCTATCTCAGCTGGGACACTGAGATACAGAGGCACCCAAAATCACCAGCAACCTTTCTCCTTAATTTTTTCTTAACACAGCCAACTTACATAAGCTGTTGTTTGAATTGCCAGACGTTGCAGAGACGCCTATGGGCAGAGGTGGTGCCTGGTCTGGGAATCACAACAAGGATCCTATGAGACAGCCTGCATCAGAGCGTAATCTGGGCTCACAAAGTGTTTGAAAGCTTCTGGTGTGATGGCGTCATACTATGAGACAACCATTAGAACACAGCTCAGCTGCTCCCATGTGTGACAGCAGAGACATTGTTAACAGTACATATCTATTAAACTATGTGTCTCCTCATGTCCACAGCGATTCCTAATCATGGAGCCTTAGGGGACAGTAGCGATCTGTGCTGAAGACAAATAAGCCAAAGGGGTAAATAAAATGCCTGCTTTCATTTTCTCTTGGCGTAAAGGCTAACCAAAATTGATAGGCATGTCCTCACTCGAGGAGCAGCACACTTGGGATGGCTCCTCCTGCGCTCCCTCAGGAGCCAGCAGTGCTGCAGACAAAGGTGCAGATCCAGCCTACCTGTTACACAAACCAGCCTGGCCATTGGGACACAAAAGCCATGCTTGTGCAGAGCCATGCACAATCTAAGCTCAGGGAATTTCCCGCAGAATCCAGAGATCTGTACCTGCTCTTCTTGCAGCTACACAATGTTCTGGCACACACAAAAAAAGGCCAAAGTGCTGTCGAAAACAGAATGCTTTCCGTGTCATTTCCTGAGTCCTGATTGCCATGGAGGATGAACTCCAGTGCAACAGGGCTGCCCATACTCAGCAGCCAGCCTTGCCACTGGCAGTCAGAGGCTCTTTGTTTTCCTGCACAAGGGCTCTGCCCTCCTAACTGAGGAAACAGCTTTGCAGGCAACACAAGGGGATCTTGGAGATCATTTAATTATTCATGCAAGTTGCAACTAGATGCAGATGCAGTTAGTTTTTTTACAATAGAGAATAAAATGGAAATACATAGCTGTTTGTTTTTCCATCTCCCCACACTACAGCTTTCTCTTTTTCAACTGCAGGAAAATCACCTTCCTTAACTCTGAAATCATAGCAGAAGCCAAGCATTTATTTTAAATTCCTATAAGGCTGTGACATCAGGTTAATTGTATTCTTCAGGGACACAGACAGCTTTTCTGGGATTTGCAGCTACGTCAACAGATGCAGAAATAATGGATGCCTGGATTACCTTGTGGGTGAGGACTTCTACAGAGCAGTATTTGCAAGGGATGTATGTAGTACTAGTCCTACTAGGGAGGATGGAGAAAATGAGAGAAACTAGCTAAGAAAAAAAACCCAAATACTAAAATTATGTGAAGAGAGGCAGAGGTTAGGAAAATAATGGATTTCTGTGACTACCAGAGAAGCAGGTGAAAACAACTTTCACATCCCAAACTACCTGGCTTTTAAATGGGGAAAAATCTTGTTCTTTTCCTGGAACACAGATTCTCTATGAATCAGTTTTCTTAGGCAATAACATCTCTAAATTATTATTCAAGAACATACAGGATTAGATTTGGCATTCTTTTATGAAAAATTTGCTAAAGTGAACTCCAAATTCAGATTTGGTGCCAAATGGCAGCAACTAAACACTGGAGTAGCTGCTGAGCCCTTGCAGTTGTTGGCCACAGGATGTGATTCAGTAGTGAAAGTAATATGGGGCATGGGATTTCCATTCAAATTTGCTGTGGGAGCTGTCAGGCATAGTGGCAGGCAGGCAGGACAATTCGAGCCCCTTTACAAGGATTGTGGATAGCCTGTGAGGGCAAGAGACACAAACATAGGCCAGAGTTCCCTTGCACCAGCATCACGTGGGCAAAACATGATCTCTGCTGCAGTGTTCTGCTTGTTTGTTTTGTTTGTTTTTGGGGTTTTTTTTGGGGGGGGGGGGGGGGTGGGGTTGAGAAACTCTCTGAGGTGCAAGACATTGAATATCCTCCAGACATTCCTCCCTCTTTCCATCTATTTGACACCATAACAGAGACAAGCCAGCTTGTTCACCAACAGGTGAGGCCCAAACCCAACCTATTACAATTCTGACCTGCCAAGTCTCACACATCACATGTGAGCTACATTCTTCTGTGCCAAACTCACTCTGCACAGCAGCAATGGCCACCACTTATAACTCATCCCATTTTCCCAGCAGCATTTTTCGTGGGATTCCATGACAAGAGCAGGGCTGGAGCATTGCAGCTGGGAAGAGTAGGCTCCCAAGGGTCAAATGTGATTTGCTGGAACAAACTGGAGATGTGCTGGAACAAGTCTGTCTTAGCAGTATCCTACATCTTTAGGCTCCTACACCTGAGTCTGTGCATGTACTCAACAGGTATAAGAACATCCACTACCTGACTTACAGAGTCCCATACATCAAGCCATATAAAAGTGGAAGGGCTGAATAATTCAAAGATACCAGTGGTAAACTTTAGCTATGTTCTTGAATCTTGTAGTACAGACATACAACTTCCTTTCCAAACAGGGCAGTGTTAAGAGCATATAAAGAAAATGGCAAGACAACTCTCACATTAGTTAAAACTACCAATTAATTTTTACCTCATTTCAATGTCCCACAATGCTGCATCATCACTTATCCAGGGATTGGAAGGCTCAGCAGGCGTTATAAAGGGGTCATATTCCACATACTGCTCTGTGTAGGCTATTAAACTGGCAGGGAAAGAAAAAGGGAAAAAAAAGAATAAAGAAAGGGTTTGAATGCATAGTCACATGTCAGAAAAGTACAGCTTTTCTTTTATCCTGTTTGTTTGGGATTTTTTGGTGGTGGTTTTTTGTTTTGTTTTTGTGTATGGTTCTTCTTATTTATAGGGATTAGTCAGTTTCCCAGCAATCACAGGAGACCCTTTTCCCAGAGATTTAGCATGCAAGGATTTCTCTGCAAACACCCACCAGCTCACTGCAGTATTTTCCTCAACAGCAGCATTTTCCTCCAGCTTGCCTCTGTTGAGATGCCCCCAAAAAACCTGATGAGGCAACAACTGGATTACTATGGTAGGACTTTCCCCAGAGAGCCATGAGAGGAATATGATGTACGTGCCATCCCATTCATTTGCTGCATGTTACTATTGCCTCCCATCCTTTTCATTTTTGCAAACTTGTGCACCCACATAAATTTATGCACTATGAGAAACTCACCTAAACAGGGTCATGGGCTGCAGCTAAGAATATGCTTAAATCTTTGGAGGATCATAGTCCTAAACATCAAAGCTTTGCCTATAGATAATTTTTTAGTTATGTTGGTATAGTATTTAGTCTAACAGCACTATTGTAAAATACTTCAACAGTAATAATTAACTTAGAGAACAGTAAATAATATGCACGTTGGAAAAACTCCTAGCCTTCACACTGGCTTGCTTCATGGTGAGTCAGTTGTGGCACATAGCCTCTAATCCTCACTAGGATGAGATTCAAAGAGCTTTCTGGTGAAAGAACTGTGTCTGCTTGCATAAATGATTCAGGAATTCCACTGGGGTTGGGGCTAGGGGTGCATTTTTACAAAAGAAAGACAGCAAACACAAAATAAATCAAAAGACATTTCTTCTAGTCTATACTGGAAATACTCTAAGGCACTTTATTTTTTGCCTACGTCTGCCAAGTAATTAACTAAGTCAATTAATTATGTCTCATCATACTGAACAACCAATGTACTTGCACTGTGATTGTCCACACTAAACTTTACCTCTGGTCCTTTACATCTCAAAAAGGCAGGCAAATGAGGAAACCCTGCAAACAAAGGGTCATAAAAGGCAGAAAGTTTCCCTGAACTGCTCTATAGTAATTATTTCTTTTTGTTTGTGCTAGCTCTTATCATGAGGCATTAAAATCATACACTTTTGTAACCACAGCAGGTTCCCATTGCCCCTTAGGGCACTGGGGGCTGTCTCATCTCATTTCATTAATTACATTTCATGACTGCTGTGGGTCAAGGGTTGGAGGAGGGAGCAGCATCCAATTTCACAGAGCAGCAGCAGTCCCTTAGACATCAATGAAAGAGAGGGTTGGTCAAAAAAGAAAAGAAAGTCAAAAAGGATCAATCAGGAGATATCTGCTGTGAAACCCGAATTGCTCCTAATAAAATAATAAGAAGACATCAGAGGTGCCAGTACGAGTACTAGCAAAAAAGAAATTGGAAAAAACAAGAATGAAACAAGGGGGAATTTCTAAGTACATTTTGCTGATTCAGTATAATGGCAGCAGCAGAATCATTGCCTCATTGTCTACAGGAGGCTAGAGGCAGGGGACTCCTAAGGAAAAGCATTTTTGTCAAAATGCAAACCTGGCCTTTTGGGTGATAAACTGAATACCCGGTAGAAGAGGTGGTAGGAGCAGTTGACTGAAGGGTGTGGAGCTTGCATTGAGAACCCAACTGCTTCTCAATCAAGGGGGCCTGCTGAGCCTTCAAGGAACTTTGATGAGAAGCTGAAAGAATAGCACAAATTTTCATCTAGGGAACCGAGATTGCTTCTGGTAGGAAGATGCTCATTTTTCCTCAGGCATTTTGGTGATGCTGTTTCTAATGAAATTGTACTAACACCGTGCAATGCAGTCAGGGAAAACAATAGGTAGAATATATTGATAGTTTTGCTCAACAGTTGTCAAAGCTCAGTGGTTAAAACTGACAGTGCACAGGTCTCAAGTGGGGAGAAAGGATGTGGAAGAAAGACACTTTCCAAGGTATGTGGAGCAGCTGAGGGATGCCTGTTCCCACAGTTGGTACAGATCTACTCCTGGAAGTAGAATAGGGAGGAAAATGAAGAAAATCTTCAGCAGCAAGCATTTATCTCACAGAAGCTGGAGATATCCTTTGGAGAGCCTTCCTCTACTGACAGACAAAGGCTATCCCAAGAATAGTGTGAATTAATGTAAAATAAATACAATTGATCTATTACTAATGAAACAATTTATATCTTGTTCCTATAACTTGTTTGACCTAGCGTTTCCTGATTTATTTGTTCCTTGTTACTTCCCTCATCCTCTCTGAAAGTGCCTTTGTGCTATACTGAAAAATTGGCAGGCGGTGCCACTGTCAGGCTTGACTGTTGATGCCAAGAAGTCATTTCCTGTACTCTGATCTACCACATGGTCACCTAAACTGTCCCAAGAGCAGGGTCTAGCCTGAAAATTGATTTGATAATAACAGCATCTCCTTACACAGGAAATTTGTTCCTAGTGCTTGTAATCAATGTCTTCATGGGGCTTTCAAGGCTGCACAGGTGTTTTTTCAGGCAATTGTGCAAGTCAGGTCATTCGTATTCATTCCTCCTCACCAGTCCCTAACCCTGCAAAGCCACTGGACCCATCAGCTTCTCTGCTTCCCTCCTACCTGCTCTGCAATGCTCCACATCCAGGCTGCACTTCCCACCACTCTCCACATCAAGTCGCAGGACTCTCAAATCAATATTGCCAATATTCAAATCAATATTCAAAGTCATCACATAACCAAACACCTCCTCATAAATAAAGATCACAATCATGATTTTCATTCTTTATAATTATTAATAATAATTTAGAAATATAAGGTTCTTCACCCAGAGGGTGTCTGGGCTCTGGAACAGCCTCCACAGGGTAGCAGTCCTGGCACTAATCCTGCCAGAATTCAAGTGTTTGGTCAATGCTCTCAGGCACATGGTGTGATTCTTGGGGCTCTCTCTCCTGTGCAGGGCCTGGGGTTGGACTTGATGATCCTGGTGGGTCCCCTCCAATTCAGCTTATTCTGTCATTCTGTAATTTGACTGTTCTCATTTTATTCACTTTTCTCCTGGTTATTATTTTGCAAAGGTTTTGATAGCAACATTTTCTCCTCCAACTTGAGAGCAATTAAAAAAGAAAAAAAAAACAAAACAAAACTTTTCAAACCAGAAAAATTATTAATGTCTCAGTATATTAAGGTCATTGTAAATAAATTCAGTACAATAACTTTTTTGGTTTTAAAGTACAAGTATATGTTCTTAATTGAAATGATCCAAAAGCCCAAAACATAAATATAAATGGGCTCATTTTAATCATACAATGTATTGCATGCAGGATTTCAGGGAACCTCTGAATAATTTCTCTTTAATTGGATACATTTTCATTTTAATTGCTAAACTTGATGAGCAAATAAGAACTTATATGGGGCCTCTCACCATTTAATTTACCTGGTTTAGTACATGCATGCTAACTACAGATGCATGCACTGCAAAGCACATTTCATGGGGTATTCCCATTTTGCTTTGCTGAAATAAAAACTCCTCTATTATTTGTCTAGAAGGAACCAGCCCTTATCCTATCCTTCATGTTTAACACAGTTTTGCTTTAAAAGTGATATCACGGAAGAGCACGGCTACCCCTACCTTCATCTCAGTAACTATCCTGCAAATGTGCATAACTTACAAATACCTAAGTAAATGAGTTGTCATACTCAATTAAATTTGAGCTTGTTCTTCACCTATTCATACTTTTCTACCAAAACAAAATATTCTGCAAGTCAAATTGTGCCTTGATTTACCTCTTAGAAATCCACTCCTTGAAACACTGCCTTGAGAAGTCCAGATACAACGCCAGTACTTCTCTAAGGGTTTCATATACACGTAAGTGGGAGCAGGAACTGGTCCTACAACCCCAGTAGGAACAGATGTGAACAACATGGACAACAAATGCAAACACAGCTCCTTTCCCAGAGCTGTGCCAGACTAACAAGAGATAAGCACTGAGAATTCGGCCAAAAAGGGGAAAAAAGGGTATTTTCAAATTGAGACACAAATGACTTTTCTAAAAATAAACCACATGGTAGTGAAGGGCTGGGAAACAAGTCACACAAGGGTTTTTTCTTTTATGAATTCTTCTTTTCTTTTGCAGATTACAGGTCCTCCTTTCCCACCTATTTTTGCTCAGTGGCAGAAGAGTGAGTACAGGAGTGTCAGCAGCCAGGCAGCACAGCTGATCAAGGAGGGGAAAGGATTGATGCACAGAAAGGGGGTCAAGCCTTTGCACTTTGCTGCCTGATCTGTTTCTAGAAATGCCAAACTGGAGATGAGGAAAGAATGGGAAATCATCAAAATGGGGACACTCACCTTTCTGCTACTTTGGACATCTTTAAACAGTGTCTCTCTATCTGCATGTTTAGAAAAGTTATCTGAGGAGAGAGATGACAAAGACATTAACAATTTATGAGTTCTGCAGCATGCACTGACAATATCTCAACACACTATTGATTTCTCTTTCCAAAAGGCTTGAAAGTAATTCAGAAGGAAATGGGACCCTTCCCTAGGAATCAGAAGCTTATTAACTGCTTCCAATAGCAGGCTCCGTTGCCAAAGGCAAAGCCCTAGGGGAAGCTTCAGAAGACATAACTGAAAGTAGAAAAGACACATATTTGGGGCCAAGGTTCCTAGACTACTCAGGGTACATTATGATCTCCTTTTTACAAACACACTCTTCTCTCCCATTCCTCTTACTGACTGGCATCACAAGAACAGTAACATTTTACAGCACACTTTCATTCTGCTATGAATCAGTTCTTCAACCTGTGATAAAAAAGCTCAAGAAATGTAGCATCCAGGCTTAGCTCAGAAGACCACCCAAAAACTGATTGCCTAAGAAACTTGTTTAAAGATGCATTAGTAAAATGCTGATCCAGTGATTCCTGTTTGTCTTTCAGTGAGGGCTGCTTATTGCATCAAAGTAATTTTGAGAGACAGCTCTTCATGCCAGTGCAAGGATGTGTGAGTTGGCTGGTCATTCCTTGGCATGATTGTCCAAATAACTTTTTCCTAGTTTCCTAAAAGCTCTGACTGTACAGTCTAACAGTCATGCACTGAACGATGCCTTTCCTCACCACTCATCCCAAGCCTGTGCCCACCTACACTGCCTTTGTCACTATCCACTTTTCAGACATCCTCAGTGAACTGGAATTATTGCCTTATTGCCTGTGTCTGGTCCACAGACAATAAAAGTAGTTTCAAAGGTCAGAGTCACTCATAATACGTATCACCATACAACCACACTGCTCAATGAATACTTAAAACACTTAATATAAGTGAGAATTAAGGATAAGTATGTGAGGATCAAGGACACATAAAGCATAGAACTGGTTTTACTGGTATCTCAATACCTTTCTAGGCTTTTTTCTGGGAGCAGTTCTCAGAAGAGTTGCCATGCAGCCACCTACTCACCTGCTTCCGGAAATCCTCTTTTGTCGTTTTGCGCACCGGTTGGGAGGGCAGGTGTACGGGGCTTTGGGGCTGAGACTCCTCTGTAACCCCATACACTGACTGTGAGGAACCAAGGAACAAACCAAAGGGTTACAGCATTTTTCTGTTACACAATGAGGAATGGTGCAGTACTCAAAGCAGTAAGGTAATAAGACAGCAATTTCCTACTTATATCCACACAGGTAATTATTCAGCCCCAAGCAATATTTACAGATGAGACCATTCTTGCTGATGCCTGCACTTGGAAGGCCTGTAGGTGTGTTAAGAGAAGAGCTTGTTTTAAATGGCTAAATGCAGATGATAATTTTTAGGAGCTCTGAAGGCTGTATGCACTAACACTTGCAGGATGAACACTGGGAGCTGTCACTGGGGTGAACCAAGTAGTAAAAGAAAATACTAGAACCTAATTCTATGCCACTGTCTTTCACTTGATTTAATTTCTTGATGTAAAACTACATATTGAAGAAAGTGCTTAACCAGATCAAGTCAATAGGGCACATGAACTTCTCTAAACAGAAACCTGGAGACAGACCTGTAGCCATTCATTTTCAGGATAGACACCTGCACTGAAAGAAATTTGCCCTTTCATTTAGTGTTTTTGCTTTTCAGTAAAGTTTCTAATAGACATGTGAATAGCTCTGCTGCAGTTTAACTACTTATGGAAGTTCAGAAGTCCAGTGTTCTGTCCAAAAATATAACAAGTGATAAGAAGAAACAGCCTTAAGCTGTGCCAAGGGAGGCTTAGATATTAGGAAAGAATTCTTCTCTGGAATGGTTATCAAGCACTGGAACAAGGCTGCCCAAAGAAGTTGTTGTGTCACCATTCTTGAAACTATTTAGAAGATAGGAACATGGTTTAGTGAAGGACTTGGTTAGGTTAAGGTTTTGAGTCACTGATCTAAGTGGTTTCCTTCAATCTACTTGATTCTATGAATTCATATACATAGAAGAGCTCAAACTTGCTGGAAGTCAAAGACACCCAAGTTACTAATGATCCAGTCTTTGAAATTATTAAGGCAGGTAAACATCTCATTTTCTGTGCCCAGATAATTTCTTAAAAAGGGACCTAGGTATTTTTGCCAATTCCATTTAATTTCATGGGAGGGCAGAGCCATCAGCCATTTGGGACACAGAGATCCTTAATGCCCTTCTCAGCTCTACCCATCACCCATCAAGTCAGTACAAATATACTGGTAAAACTGAAATAATAAATTCACTAAGGAGAACAAAATATAACTCGTATTATCAAAACACTTTTTTTTTGCTCCTCTTGGGTAAGTCTCATATACAGTAGGTATCAAGTATGATTTACATGAAAAGAAAATAAAAACAGTGAACCAAACTAACTCCAAACAAGAAAAAACCAAAATGAGGGACTCAAACTGACCTTTTTCACTTTTTGTGGGTTTTTCATGCGGCGACACTTTCTAATGTCCATTTCTGTGGTGTTCACACAGCCTGGCTGAAAAGAGATGGTAACTGTGTTATTCCTCTGTTAAGAATCTTCATCCTACCTTACCTTTATAAAATATACAATTAGATCTTGTCCAAAACTCTTTCTTGAGGTCTGTGTTACTCTTGCTAAACAAGAGACTGCATATACCCAAGGATGCTATGTCAGCATTCAATCCACTTACTCCTAACTTTGGCACCAAAAGGAAATAGCTAACAGTGGGGAGCTTTTGCAAGGAAGTCTGAGACAAACTGAGTAAGCTGCTTTTCTTTCATAAGCCCAGTAAATAATTTTCAAAGTTCGTATTTTTCACGTATTTCCAAATCAACAGTTCCATAGGTACAGAAGTCCAGAATGTCTCACATAATCTAGCGGACACTTGGTGCATTGGGAACTGCAAGGAAAATTAATGTGGTGACTGTAAGGGCAGTGTTTTTGTGCATAAAGCATTTACTAGTAATAAAACTTGTCCTGTCAAAACCTGAAAGTTTCTTAATTCAAAAATAGTTTTACCACAGGCCTGTGCACATCCCAGAATGCTCTTTCCTGGCTGTCCAAAATCTTTCTTTCTGTTTTATCCTTTTTTCTGTCGATTCTGAAAACAAAAGCATAAATGAGTATGAGTCAATGTACAAGTCATGCTTTCTTCTTTGATATAGTTCCTAGCTGTGGTTCTTAACCCCAAGACAAAAAATTTGAGAAATCAACTTTTTTTGTACAGTGATGTTGCACTTGCATGGGCACATGCCATGAACAAAATAACACTGATGTTTACTCCAACATGGGTCAAAAAAGATTTTCCTATTAATGTGGAAAAATTTAACAGCTGTTTTTCATCTAGTGAGGAAAACCTTTCCTGGTACCCTGGTCCTGTACTCTGATTTGACAGGCTGGGAAAGTTTGTAGTTTTGTCTGTGTCAGGAAACCCACCAGGACCTGTTTGCTCCAGGTGAGGTGCCTGGCTGATGCTGAACTGAGGTCACCATCCAGAGAATCCATTGCACCCAAATGCCCCAGCAGCACCACTCAACGAATACAGATTGCAAAGGAGCATCTATCCCAGACATTTCCAGCAGCAACAGCATGGGCAGCACTTGTGGCCAATCCTCCTTAGAGCTTTCAACTCAAACACTGCCTCTGTCGGTGTGCCCCCATGCTGGCAGAGCAAGGGGTAACAGCACAGGTGAGCAAAGGCGAGCTTGCTGCATGGCCCCTACACACCAGCACCCACCCCAGAGAGACATGACTGGGCTGGCACAACAGGAACTCTGTAATTCCAGCCCTGATGCGGCCAGTGGACCAAGTCACTGAAATCACACAGCCCAAAGGCCACCAGAGGTTGTTCAAAGAAATTCTTGGCAGCAGTGAGCAAGTGACACCTGGAACCTCACTCATCTTTACACATGAGCACAAAGTCAGCACCAGGTTGCAAGATCTACCTGCAGAGGGATGGGAAGAAGCACACGGAAGGAGGAACAACCTCCATGCCTCCACTTCAGAGCATGGCTGAGTAAAGCTCTGTTTCCCTGTGCTGGGTTCCCACTGGCTGCCACCAGGAGAATCAAAGCAGTTAGGAAAGAAAACACAGGCCAGCTGTGATTTCTGACTACCAGGTTCTCTCCCATCTGTTTTTGTTTTTGAGGGGCAGTGCCCCTTGGCTAAGTCTGTGCTAGAAATGTACCAAGAGGATAGGAATCAGGGAAGAAAAACTGAAGTTTATGAGCAGCCCTCCCCAGAAAAGGGCAAAATTCTCAAAATTCTCCACAGTTTGGCATCACTAGCTGATTTTCCCCTTGCAAGGCAGAGATGAGAAACAAACTCTGGCACAAGCTCTGTCCCTGCTGTACTGTGCTGAGGACACCCAGCCCAAAACTACTTTTCTGAATGAGTCCTTCACACCTGGCCAAGGCGGAAGGCGAAGCCTATTCCAATCTTACAGCACACACAAATTGAAGGGACTCTCTGGAGGCTTCATGAATTCTCTTCATTGACACTTTGTGCTCAACCCAGATTGTCAGCTTCTATCTCCAGACTTACAGATAACTCAGTATTTCACATTTTAAACTATGAAGACCCAATGCAGTTAGATGCTTTATGGCTGGAATTTTTGAAGCAATGTGGATATAGCACATATAGGGAATCCTGTGTGCAAACAAAAACATGGAAAACAAAGCAAACTTGGTAAGCAGGAGGAATGTTTTCAGGTATTTTTGATGTTTTTCCTCCCTTCTCTAGTTAAACTTTTAGTTAATGTGAATTACAATGTGAATTCCATTCCTGCCTTTCTGGAAATCTGAAGACTGAACCATCACATGAACTGTGGACCGAGAAGCTGAAACTAGCCAGCAAAAAAGTTGATAGTGGCCAGTTCATGCTTATGCCTCAAAGAAAACAGAATGAAGAAAAGATGAATAACCAACAGTGATCACAATGAGTCTGATATTTACATTTATTTCTTAGGTGATAATTATCTGTTTTAGATAGAATGCAGACTTTTGTTTTGACTTACACTTTTTTTTTTTAGTCTTGGCAATAGCCTTTAAGTAACTGAAAGCACAATTGCTATCCTAAGTTCTAATTTTCTCTTCCAAATGGAACACTGCTATTCTGGTTGGAAAAAAATCCCTTAATTACCCTGCAGATTAAAAGACAATTACCATATATTTAAATGGTACATAACTGCAATGTTATTAAGCAAAGAATTTATCAAAATTCCAAAGGGTTAATCAAAGAGACATATACCTCAAGACATACACCTTCAAGAAATTATATTCAGTAACTTTTTAGCATCTAATGCTGAAAGTGCAAATTCTTTCCAATGGAACCTTTTCAGTACTGGTGTTCTCATGTGTCACCTTCACCAATCTTTCCATTTTATAAATGACAATGGCAGGCACAAAATAGACACTCAGAGTTTAGGTACTAGTTTGCAGACAATAGTACACAAACCCTAGACCATATCCATTTAACAGCAGTATTGAAAACACACTCAAAATATAAAGAAGCTTCACACTGCTTTCACAAGGGAAGATGAGAAGAAATACCTGTTGTAAATACCACCCTTATAATCACATGGAAGTGACAGTATTTTTAGACTCAGAAATACTCTGCAAGCATAGAGTAACACAGACAGATGAAAATATTCTGTTCTTTCCATTCATACAAAACAAAAATACTTCACAACTGTAGAAGCACAATGGGCTTGCAAATTACCCAAGGTCCCATGGTGAATACAAGCTTAGGAGCTCCAGACCAGTGTTTCCATGTGCAGATAATTAAACCCATCCTTCAGTTTCTGGCACAGATCTTCAGAATTGGCTCTCTACTGTTTCTAGTCTGCCAGTGATTAAAATTCACCAACACCTTCTGAGCTTAGTCCCAGTAAAGATTTTGACAAAGAAGTTTTATCTGTTTAGAATCCCCTTCCCTTCACAGCTCTAAATACTTGTGCAATTCAGTGCTCTAGGATTACTCACTTCACTTGGGCCTCTGCTTGCATGAAGATGAATTCCCACTTTCTTGCAAATGCTCTCTGAAGTCTTGCTAAGTTTTCCTGTCAAAAGATGAAAACAGTAAGAACAACTAATTTCTGTAATTAAACAATTGCTTGAGAGTACATTTAGCATGGTGCATATTTATTTTATTCTTTTTTATTTTTTTTAACTGAGAAACTAAAGACATGGAAGTCAGTGTTGGTTTCAGGTGAACTACAGTGCAGGCAAAGCAAGGCTGTAACACATCTTTTTGGGCTGCAACCCAAAGGGACCTGCCAGGGATAAGTAATGGAGTGTGATGAAGACAGCTTGAGCTCTAGTATGAAAAAAATTATGGACTTGTTCCCAAAAGATAACACTGAGAAGCTTTGTGAAGCTGATGACTTTCATTTCTGATAGCAGATGGCTGCCAGCTGCACGTTTCCCTCTCATCCTCACTTTCCCTCCCCTCTGCACTGTTCTCTTCTCTTCAGGCTTTTGTGAAGGTGCAAAGCCTGAGGTCCCCTGCTTTGCTCAGTCCTGATCACTGCTGAGAGCATTATGCAGCTGCACAGTATTGAAGGCTGGGGATTGCCAGGATGATTCACAAAAGGAAATAGCTTGTTTGTCTGAACAATGAACACAGTTACTGCAAAGAATGGCTCCAGACGCAGTTTTGCTCTACACCTGAAGTAACAGCTCTGGTCCAGACCCATTCCAGGGAGTGTAGGGATCTGAACATTTGGATGTGGATATGGCTTCATCACAGCTTGAGGTTGAACTCAGAATATGGCTGGAATTTCAGGCTTAAATTGCACCCTGAAGTTGCATTTCCACACCCCCCCCCCAAGAAAGGAGAACTTTGAGACAATTAACAGGACACTTTTCTCCATTACAGCTGGTTTAACTGTTTCAAATTTACATTGAAAACAAACACTTGTAGTTCAATTCTTGTTCTCTTTATACTTATCACCTATACTTCAATAAACCTTTTCAGGCACATGCATTTCAATACAAGAAGAAATCTTCCTTCTAGTTACTTTAACTCTTGTATAACAAAGAGTTTTAAGGCATAAAACTTGGCCCTTTTACCACCAACTCCATGTAACAGCTTCAGTCTGTACATATGGAGGAAAGCAGTTAAACAAATTATTTACAGCTGTACTGAATGTGATGATTTCCTTAACTGTGGCTACAAAGAACAACAACTTGTAATTATCTGCAACACAAATTCTTGTGGGTATTTTTTTCATTATTTTTATTTTATTTTAAATTATGTTCACATGTGCCCTCTGGAGTAAATATGCTGAAGCCAATGAAACATCACCAACAGAAGCTATATTTGAATTGTGCTTATGTTTGACCAGTTATAAAAAACCTGAATGCAACTATACAAGCTCAATCATATAATCAACGTAAATGTGGGCTGGGGGACTGTCTGTAAATGCTGCAAAGCAGAACCTAAAAATGAAATTCCATTCTCTTGAAGCTCCAGGTCACTGCTGATATCTAAGGAGAAGCATTCTCATGCTGCATCTCCAAAGGTATGAGAAGCACTGCTTTTCACTCCTGCAAACCTATTTCTCTCACTTGTGCTGAGCTTACATCCCTTGCTGGATCTGCTTCAGCTCCCATAATGCTTAGAAAGAGTTGGTGCCATTCTTATCTGAACGTCTCTAATTAAGAGAACAAAGTTTGAATGCAGAAGTAACCTCTAATTGTGCAATGCAATATTCACAAGAAAAATGAGATACTGCCAAGATCTAATTATTTACCATCACTGGAGCATTGCTACTCTCAGTAGGCAACAATGTGCAAAAGTACTTAGCCAAAGCCTGACTGCATGTGTGTGGGAGTGTGTGCGCCGCTGAACAGCCTTTTGTGGCTTTATGGTGGATCTTTGGAGTACTTACACTTAATTGGTTGGATGTGAGCAATTTTAATGTTTTAATAATGAAATCAACAATATGCAGAAGAAAAAACTCAGCAAAAGGACATGTAAGTGCATGCAGGTTGTTATATTCCTTCCTTTGTGCTTGTTTGAGATTAGAACTCTTGGGAAGTCGGAATGCATTTCCAGGGGGAACTAGGTAAGTGGCAATTGTTGCATGCTCTGCACTCGACCAAATGGCAGATCTCTCCATGTGCACAAATGTTCCAAAATGTAGAAGGTAAGGAAGAAGGAAAAACTTCAGTCTTGGAAAAAAAACCCCAAAAAATCCCACTCTAAAATATCTGCAACATAGATGTTTTCATTGTAATAACCATGACCATGTAAGTCCAACTTTGCAAACAAACCCTCTAACAAAAAACTCCATGTATAAAATTCTGCTACTACACTGTTGAGCCAGTAAACAGAAGAAAGCCAACATGACAGAAAGAAACATTTAGTTGCTCAGAGCACTACACTGCTGGTATTCAAAGAAATACTCAGCCCTGCCCCTCCTGCCTCCATCTTCCCACTCCTTTCCACCCTGCAGTCCGACAACAAAGTTTGAGATGTTTTTATTGATAGTAATTCCAGATCAGAAAACGTGCTCTAAATAAAGTTCAGTGATATTTTTCATATGACATATAGAAAATGTTCCCAGTCTAATATCTGAGAACTTTTGTAACAAAATATGTCATTAACAATTTAATTGCCCAGTGGTACACCTGAAAGTGTATCATTTTCCTGTGCCAAAATCTCCTATATAAACTAAGATTTCCTAACTCAAAACAGGACACCAAGTGAAACTTCTGTGAAATTTGCCCCTGTCTTGAAAGGTTCATTATACAGCAGATGCTTTAATGTGGGACACAGAAAAGTCAGGGACATTCATCAATCTTGTTCCTGAAGTTGTCTTCATATCAGCCTTCACACAGTACTGACAACTAAGAAAAAGATACAGTAAAGGCTGACCCCAAAGCACAAAATGGCAGCATTCAGTTGGCAAAGCTATCCCTGCATCCCCCAGCTTTAAACTCTAGCAGCAGTGTACCTACGGCTTCATAATCCGCCAGCTCCAGCCTAGCTTTGTTCTGCATGGTCCGTTTGCAAAGATAGATGGCTAAAGGGAGAAACAGAATGGAAAACAATTACAGAGAGATTATTAGTACTAGAGCTAAAAAAAAGAAGGAAAAAAGTATTCTATAGACAGTTTGTTTTCATCAGAAAGCAACATGAGTCAAGGAATGAGAGGGCTGGACACCCAGCTGACATTGCTTACGACTAATCTCAGAGGCCCTAAACATCTGAGATATCTCATTTAAAAGTACTGGGAGCAGATGCCAGGACCTAAAAAGATATCCACGAAAGGCACAATTGCTTCTGGGTCTGGTAAAAGATATAGTATAAGCAATCTGTTCCCTAAGCAATTTGGGAATATGCATGCCACAAAGTGACCATCCCTGCACTTCTTTTCTGCAAAGAAAAAATAAAAATAAATCAGGATATTGAAGTGAAAACAGAAATATGGGCCAGATCTTAAAAGCATTATCTGAGCCTTTTTTAATACGCTCCATCCTCTTATTCTTACACATTTCAAATGGTAAAGAGAAGCCTTGTCACATTTCACTATAGGCAGAGGCTGCTGAAACTGATCTGGTTTGGAATTCTGAGGGTCAAGATGAGCCCAGCACACACCACCAAACCAGTCCCAGGCTGCCTTCTGGGAAAGCCCCACCTGGATCTGCTAAGCACATCCCATTTCCATTCAAGGCTGAAACACAAGGTCCAAGCACACTCTGGGTATATGGTCAGGTCTGAACTTAATAGAGGACCAGTGCTACTCATGTAATTCTATTCCATGCCGTTTCTGTAATTTTAACATTCATATAATGAGCCAGTATTATGCACTGTAACCAGAGCTGACCAGTTCATTTATATTTACACATCTCAAGGGCAGTTTTTTCTGTAAAGCACTTATGATACCAAATGAAGTAAGTCAGTTGCCTCACAGTGGTTTTTCATGCAAGGCAGTGAACTGCCATTAGCAAGTTAGTTCCTCTCTCCTGTAAGTGGACACATGCAAATAAAAAAAGTATGAAGTGCTCCTGGGATTTCAGTTTTATTTGGGTCTACTGCTAGTTTGGGATTAATTCCTGGGAAGACTCCATCTGTACAGGCTTCTGATATGCAAAGTCTGATTATAAGCATATGTTAGAGGTTTCTGGGACAGATGAAAATCTGTCACTACAAGGCTCAGCTAATGCAGCTGAAGCTTGTCCAGCTGTGGGTCAGCTCACAGAGGGTTTTATTTTGGTGTGTACTGCCCCACTCAATGCCATTGCAGTGCTGACTAACTGACTAATAATCTGACTGCCAAAACCAATTATTTATCTGATACTGCAGGAAAAACCAGAAACTCCTTCTTCACATTATTGTTCTGGTATTTAAAGAATACATATGAGACACAGCTCACACAGTAATATAGGGTGACTGTAATATCTGAAAATCTTTTTTGCAAATACAAAACAGTATCTTGTTTTCTCCTCAACAATTAGCTCACTAGCATAAACATGTAAGTCCAGTTCATCTGCAGATGAGGACTGCAAATGAACTATCACATGACACACATCATTGCAGACTAATTCTTCACCCCAGCAAATGATTTCCAGAATCCATAATGATGAATAATTATTGCATGGGAAAGAAAAAAACTCAAACTGATTATTCAGGGAGGAGCTCTAAACCAATCTTAGATTATGAGATAAAGGACTTCCAGAAGCTCCCGTTTTATGACTGCACACATGTATACACTTCCTCTTCCAAAGCCACATCAGGATGCAACAATTAATTTTATCATTTAACTGTGAAAGCAGCACAGTTCTGGCAGAGACAGCAATATTGCATGCAGACAGCTAAAGATAACAACACTGACATATTTTCTTTATGTATTATCCCTGTCTGCAGGCACTTACACGTTTAAAACACTATGTTGCACTTTATTAACTCATAAACCATGCTCAGTCTTCTCTTTTACCACATCATCTAGTAATCTTAAAAAAATGAGAAAATAAGTCTGATGTCATGTATCAGAGAACTTTTAGCTATGGGCCGCTGTTAGTTATGTACTGGTTTATTGATCAGTCAGATAAGTTCCCAGATGAAGTAAGTTTTATTGATCCACATAATGGATTCAGCAACAGATCAGAGGATAGTCTCCCACAAAAGCAATATTATTATTATTTAAGATTCCCAAGAACAAGTATTCTGCTGGCCACAAATCCTGCTGAAATGAACAGGGCTATGGGAGAATGAAGGCAACGGATGGCAAAATCCTGGCTCCACCAAGCTCAATGGCTACAGCTTCAGGGGCTTGAGACACTGCAGGGTTTCAGTTTGTGCATTTGAGATGGGCACAGATCTGCCTCTGATGCTGCCATCTGACAAGAAACTCAGCACTTGAAGGGTGTATGTGGCCAACAGTAATTATTTGATGGACAACTATTTACCTCACAAACTAATTTTCTATAATGCAACAATCATGCTCTCACCATAATCTGTGTTTTCTGGTTCCCAGCAGTTTGAAGGCCAAAAGTATGGTGCCTACGAAGAAACATATACATTTTTGTAATTTAAGAGATAAAAACCGATTCAGATGCAGAAAAACAATACAAGTTCAAAAAGAAGAATCACAAAATCTACCACCCAGATTCTGCCCTCAGGGGAAACACTGCTACAGATTACAGTAAAAGTGAGGATGCTGCAAAAACCTTTAATGGTCCTCACTGCAGGTAAATAGAGATGCTGTAATGCAAGCACATCTTGTGGAGGATGTCCAGTGTCCTGATGAAATTTCAGACACTGTTGCCAGCTCATCTGAATGTGGACATCTTATCCACTATCCCCAGAACCTCCTCTTTCCCCAAGAATTCACAGGCAATCTGAATATATATATATATATTTTTTTAAGCACATGAGAAACCTTGTAGTCTTATCTATATGCTACATACCCCTTGCTTTTCTGGAGTAGCTACCAATGTAGCTGGCAGACAATTTCCTTTTTAGTTGTAACAGATGGCAGAGGTCAGAACTCAGCTGTTTAGAGTCATTCTGAAAGCAGAAGTCCTGCTAAACTTAGTGTTTTGGTCTTCTATCCAGGTCTGCATATTGCAGTTGCTACAATTAACTACAAGCTATATATGACTGTATTTCAGTTTTAACATGAATGAAAAATGACACAGCAGTCATCACATAAATTACAGAACACTGATGCTTTACTTATTACACATTGCTTTACTGCTGTAGTGCTACAGATTAATAGGACATTAACACACAGAGTTAATATCCTTCCACCAAAGTACAGTGAGAAAACATTGAGGATTTAAACAATACAGGGTTCAATGTTCCTACTGACCTGTATCTTATGAATTTCAGAAGATACAGAGCTACTCTTAAAGGAAGGACTGAGGTTGAGGTAAAAAGAAACAAGAAGAGAATAATGGAAAAGAAACATGATTCTATCAGGTTATTTTTGTAGAAAACAGCTAAGGAGGTGTGTTGGAGGAAATGAAAACAGGCAAAAATACACAAAAATTGTAAGAAAAGACAAGGGAAAGAAAAGTCAATAAGCAGTCAATTTGATGATATGGTTTACACAGGCTTAAAACAATAAAAAGAAATTAAGTTATATTGAAATGTAGCTCCTGAAAACTGCATAGGACAAGTTCTTAGAGTGCCATTCTTTTAAAACAGAGAAAAATACAGGTAAATGGACAACCAGTATTACCCCTGCTTCTGTCACATATGATAACACAATACCACATTAGCAGTAGGCATGAGCAGCTGCAATATCAGATGCAAAGAGCAGAATTGGCTTTTCAAATAAAAGCTAAAAAAGAGTAAAATAATGTAAAGGAGGAACAAGAGGGTGAACAGAAGAGAGGTGACAGGAAAGATAAGGGAGCTGGCTGAGACAATGTAACAGAAAAACACAAATTCAGCCAGCAGGATGAGGCAGTAGGACTCCAAGTTTAGACTTACTGCTCCTTCTAAAGTTATAAAATCAGTTCAGAAGGAACTGTTGCAGCACAAGCACTCAGTTATCTAGTGAGCTGACAGTGGCTGATTTTGGACAGGGTATGGAACTCAAGCACAAGGTGCTTAAAAAATTCAGGACATCTGGAGGCACAGGAACATTGAGGGGTAGAGATGTCCCAGTTTAGGTGATTGCCAAGGTTACACATCCTTTGTAGAAGAGCCAAAGCCTTAAGCTTGCCCTCTCCCACAACAATCTGTAAGCAAGAGTGACAAAAATTTGAATTTTTTGCTGTGCCAAAGCTTGAATGTCCAGCTCCTAAGTGTGCCCTGGTCCATTTTGCACATACTTAATTCTGCATCAGAGTTAAAACCTGAAAGCCATCTTCTTTCTCCTGGTTTGGTTCAAATCTGAGTAAAACAGCTGTGAATTCAGGTATCAAAAAGAGTCACAAGACATAGCCATTCATTTATGTAAAAAACTAAGTCAGAAGGTAGATGAGAGTGATTTGGGATTCTAAAGCAAATTTTTTTGAAGGGACTTAACCTCTCCTAGGGCCTCTACAAAGATAGCTTCAATCCCTGGCTTCATAGATCTAATAGCTGCTAAGGTGTAAAGAGTGGGTGATTTTAGCAGTGTCACTGCAGGGACAGAAGAAGGGGCCACAAGGGGATCAGGGTGCTCACCAACCTGAAAACGATAGAACGTCCCATCATCCTTAAGGGTGAGGACATGGTCTGAGATGGGAAAGACGTAACCCTGTGCAGCAATAAGACTTCCCAAGTGTATTGCTTCCCCTGTGAAAGAGAAAAAACAGCATGGATGTGTCAACAAGACATGCACTGCACATTTCTCTGCTTTCAATTGCAGCTCTGGTGATGACTCATGTGAAATCTGGTGCCCACATGCCTCTCTGTATCCACACCACATCCCTACTACTTTCAGCCAAACCCTGTAAAGCAGGGGTGCAAAAATCAGCCTTTCAATACAGATGAAGCACTGCTCAAATGTTTAACCCATTAGATTTTTGTTAACAAAATTCACATACCAGTCCAGCCCTAGAGCATGAAATTAATTTCAAAGTACATTATCCACTACAGGTGACAGCTGACAAGAAGCCTATTCTGTCAGTGAACCTCACTTGCTTCTACCAAATTCAAAAAGCACCTGCAACACCTGTTCATTAGCAGGATATTTATTCATAAAGACACATCCTCACACTGTAGCATTGCCCTTTGTTAGAGAAAATGTTGCAAAGGGGAGTTACATATCCTAGCGCTGCCCAGGCAACCTTCCCCAATGCAGAGGCCCATCTGTGCAGATTTTCAAGCAATGCCAGCTACCAAAAGCTGCATCATCTTTCACAGTGTTGAAAAATCATCTGCTTGTGCATGTCCAGATAGCTAATAAAGCTGTTGTCCACAGCTAAAATTCCAATTTGGGACTTGACAGGACTCATGAGAAGGGATGTGTATACAGAGATGCCCTGCTGGGTGATTCAACACTGCCTGTATCTCTGTTTTTACACAGTGACAGTAAGGCAGCTTAAGAACTGGTAGGTGAGAGCCTGGATTTTTTCCCTTTCCTGAAAAGGAAATGAAACTTCTGGACCTGCAGATCTTTTCTTCCCCTTTTCTCAATAGGTCTTCTCTTGACTAAATGATTTTGGTTTCTCTGAAGAGTGAACTATTTGGATTGTGCCCATGCACTGATCATTCTTTATGGCTGATTATCCATTTATCCATTTGCTTTTTTTGATAAATTAAAAGCCATTATCAGATTCTATGACCCCGGCCAAGAATGACACAGGCACTATGTGCTGTCAGCTGAGGCTACCTTTCTTCACACCATGAAACCCTGACGCTGCATTTGCCAGCTTAACCACACCACGTCCACCAACTTCTTTTTGAAGTCTAGGAACAAAACCTAAACTCAATCAGTCTTCTGTAGGTAGCAACAGTTTCACAGACAGGCTAAAATTCCTGCAATAGTATTTCAGTGTGTTGCAGTATAAGGCATTAGACTTAATTAAGATGTTGACTCTTAACTCTTTTCCCTCCAATGTTTAAATCAAGCATGTTCTTTTACTGCCATTTTAGACTGCAGCAATATAGTATTTACTGTCTAATGGCACACACAATACAGACGGAGCATTTCTCCCCAGCTGTGGTCACCTTACCTGCATCCTCAATGCTGAGGTTCTTCATAAGCCACTGCACAATATCAGAACCTTAACAAACAAATGAACAAAAATTTAAGAAAGCATTAGACACCGAGACCCCAGGGTTTGAGTGCCCTAGAGAGAGATAATATTAAGATAGATGCAATAGAATTGGCATGAACTTTATTCCATTTTGCTTTTTATTTCCACTGAGGTTTCAGAATGTTTTTCCTTCTTGTGCCACACTGCAGCTACATGATTACTGACAGGTACTAAGTCCCATGGGGCTTTCTGTGCAACAGCAGACTTGATATACCTGAAGTCAGATATTAGTCTAATGGTTCACTGTAACTGTTCTCTCTCATTTTCTTCTCACTCAGCATACAGAGATAAGTTTCTGCAGGCACGGGTTAGCAAGGAAACAAAGGAGCATGTACTGGCACCTCACACCTGTAACATGTAAATGTATAAAACTGAAACATCAGTCAAAAACAGATAGGAGGGCCTTACTTATGTCAAAGATAAGCAATGTCTTTGAGAAAGAGGTGGTATTCAGAGAGCCTGTAACCACAGCCCCTCTGAGTGGTCACCTGGTGGTGACCACACAAACTGAATGGTGATTGGAAGAAGCAAGCCTTTAATATCCATCAGGAAGTTCATTAGATTTTCAGGGCCCATCCAGTACAATGAAAGTTGTTGCAATCTGAAAAAGAACATCAAATTCTCTAGGATTGATCCTCTGCATGTATACAACCTCTGTTGCTTGCATGGAGATCACAGAAGCGGAAAACTTGTCCCTGTTCAGTAGAAAGGCCTGTTACCAAAATACATCATGGCAGGGCAGCAAAATTTAGTTAAATCACGTACTCAGAAAGTTAAGTTTAAAATTAGACATAATGGTGTGTACAAATCAGCTAATGGAGTTCTCGAAAATCAAAAGCAATCAGCAAAGACACTTGGATGCAATATGGCAAGCCCATACTAAGTTGCAACAGCATTCATCACAACCTAACAATGCCATGTCAGGATGCAGACACAACATCAAGCCCTTCTCAACATACAGTCAATTTCCACAGAAATATTTGCATTCACATACAGTAGGCTAATAGCCCCAGTAACACTTCATAGAATCATAGACTGGCTTGGGCTAGAAGACACCTAAATATATCCAGTTCCAACTCCCCTCCACAAGCAAGGATGCCATCCACTAGACCAGGCTGCTCAAAGCCCCATCCAAACTGGTTCAGGCTTACAAAACAAATCCCAGAGGATCTGATTTGTGTGAAGCACTTCCAAACTCATGGGACTTCAGGAGCAGCATAATTACCATGTTTGTTCCAGAAGAACATTTTGCTTCCCACAGGCCCAAACCACCCCCATTTCCTCAGCAAACCTTAGACATAATAAAGGCCAGGAGTCACAATGTGCCACAGAGAGACACAGCAGGTACTGCAAGTGCCTCAGGTCCCGAAATCATCTGCAGGCCTGACTCTCCCATACAGGTGAAATTCACATTAGAAACATGAGCTCTACCCCACACAGAAGGGGACAGCAGCTCCCATTCCCCTGGCAATAGAAGTTGATCCAGAACACTACAAAGAGCACCAGCAAACCCGTTCAGACAGGCTTCAGCAGCAGGCAGCAATGAGCCTGACCTACCTCATCCTCCATCCAAGGCAGATGAAACAACAGACCTGTCCCCTGCAGGGAATCAGCAGAGCTCCTGAAGATCAGGAAAGCATCTGATTTCACTTATATACTGGGCAAGCAGATGTGGTCAACAAGCAGCAGCTGGGCATTGTCTCAACCTGCCTCGAAGGCAAACCAGATACTAAAGGATCAATCTCATGATCTTGTATTCTCAGCAGTATGGTCATTCTCCACACCTCCCAACTTCACCTAGGAGCATTTTCAGTTGCCACTACTCTATCTGGAAAATTATTCCAACTTTTTTTTTTAAATAAACTTTTCCTCTAACTTCACAACCTAAGTTTGTTAATGTGCAATTTATATGTATTTTATAACGGCATTGTGATTGAAGGAAAATAATGATTATTCTTCCTTGACAGTTTCTCCTGAGTGTTTCTATGCAGGGCTGACACATTGTCTCTCCCTCTCCACCTCATTAAACCAACCAAACTTTTCCTATGTCCTCTTAAGATGGTCTCTCCCTATACCATTCAGCAACTTCTCAAATTTAAATCAGCTTCTTTGAACTGAGCTCACCAAAACTGCAGTCAGTACCTTGTAGAACAGCAAATCAGTGCCTCTGGCAATGGTGCCAGCACTTTTCTTTTCTCTACTAAAACCATCATGCCAGATGCATCCCAAGGTCATGTCATTTTCTTGAACAATAAATTTATTCAGAAAAATATGTACAAGGGGTGCAAAACTATCCGCAAAAAGGCATCTAGTGAACAGTTAGCAGAATAACATATGGGGAATATGTTCAGAGCCATGTTGTTTTGACAAGTTTGTTAATAAAATATTATATTTTATAAACACGGGTGTGCCCTTTTACCTTTTACGAAAAAAGATTTTGAAGACAGAGTACAACATTTATGGTTAGAAAACTAATTCAAGAAGATTCAAACTGTACTGCTTCTGTACTGTCAGAAACAAAACCTCACAAAATGCTCTTGGTTCAAGTGAAACCAGAATCTTTCTTGATTTTTCAGTTCATCCCCTAAACAAAAAACTGTTTCTCCTGATTTTGGTCTCTCCTTACAGGCTCGCAGTGATCTCTTAGGCATTGTATTCCCAAGTGACGTGAGAGCTGATACCTGACAATCATCTACAGTATTGCATCGCATTGGCCGTGGGAGGTGAAGTGGTTTCTGCATGATCTCCCTTCCAGATAATTTCCCTTTCCAGTACAGGAACACATAGTTCCTGATTTAGGACTAAGTCCCACTCCATTTTAACATAGAATGATCATGTCCCAGCTCTAGGACACTTCTGAGGAATCTATTCAATTTCCATCAAACAACAATGAAAATCTGAAGTAATGCTGAATGCTGGCTCCCCAGTCTCTGACCCCTCAAAAGAAAGGTTTATATGGGCAGGAAAGGTTTAAGGCACTGACTCAACCAGAACTCCTGTGATCAGCCACTCCAGAATATAAGCAGCAGTTGAGATCAGGAATTTTAATTTGCCTCTGTTAAAAACATGAAGTAATTCCTGAATGCTGCCAAGAGCCTGGAAGATGTTATAGCTGTTCTCCAGTTGTCCTGAGGCAGACAGATTATCTTTCTGCTGAGCTTGCTGAACCATTATTTATCACCTGCCAAGACTGATTACTCACCCTTTGGACAATGACAAGTCTTTCCTTCCTCTGTTAATTACTGTCATCATTAATAGCCATGTCACTAATTAATATTCAGTCATAATGAAAACTCTTTTCTGTCATCTACCGTAACACCTTCAGTTTTTAGGGTTACCCTTACACAATGGCTTTGCATTTGCTTGTGGCTGTTTCTATCACTGCAACCTGCTTTTGCCCACCTAGAAATACTACTTATGCCCTTCTTAAAATAAGAAAATTTAGATTTATCCTTCTAAGACACAGCGAAGATTGGAATGATTTCTTTACAACATTGTTGTCTGCCAGACCAAGACACGGATACCTCTATCTGTAAGTCTTCAAGAAAACATCATCTTCACCTCTCCTTTAGATTAAGCCAGGTAAATGGTCCTCATGTAACTCATCTTCCCAGAAAGATATTTTCTCACATTTCACAAGCTCTTTCAGAGGGCACCCAAGGAAAACCCTTGACTCTGATATATTTCCACTGTACCCTAACAGGGCATTTGAAATCCTCTGAAAACAAACAGTTGGTCATGTCTTCACAACAGGAAGTGTTACCGAATCCAGGCAGAGAAATAGCTTCCATCTTCTCTGTGCTCCTCTCTATACATCTACATTTCCTCTGAGTCAAAATGCTCAGTTCAAGAATAACCAACATCCTCTGAACACCTATTTCATCCTCATCTATAATGGAACATATCTTTTTGCCTTAGGCTCTTCTTTGAAGCTGAAGTTGCTTAACACCAACAGAATAGCTGTATTTCTACCTGCAAACATATTCACAATGGCCATTTATCCAGCTACGTGTTTAGAGACAGAGCCGCAGTTTTATATTTATTGCTATTTTCTGCATTTTCTCTTCAGCCTCAGTGACCCCATAATAGTAGCCAGCGTTCTCTGCTTGCCATTGCCTGTCAACATGACAAATGAGTGGTAAGACACTGAAAGATTAATTTAAAAAATTCACAAGGTATGGGGCCATTGGCAAGATGCAGTTGGTGAGATGAGTCACTACCCCTGTATTTCATACTGTATCTACTCAACCTGTGTTGTTCTACCTCTTCCAGAAAATGCAGAAAGAAAGATTTGCCCATCTTTTACATGCTGAAATGACAAAGGCAGACAGGACAACTCACCATCCTGAAATACTTCTAAAGATTTGCTGCCTGGAGTGGAGTCTGTACCTCTGGTTCTGAGGTACAAGGCCCACTGAGGTCTGCTTGTCACCCAACAGACCAAACAAGTCCCGGACAAGGCCTACACCTGTACACATGTGTATGTATACAAATAAAAATTATAGGAGTATTTCTGAAACCTCAGCAAATGTGTGTATCTCTATTTGTCTTTTTAGGCCTGGAAAGACAACTGCCTTTTTGCTGTGTCCTGAGATGGCAGAGCTGACAAGCACTGATGAGTGGAGCTCTACAGGGATTTGACATGAGACACCTCGTGTGGCCAGGTGTGGCACCAGTGACCAAGGACTACAGCTTGTCCTGTCTCATGGGACTTATTAAGCTGAGCCCTGACCACTGGCTGCCATCAGCTGATGGGTGGGTTACCCTGGATCTCAGATCATTCACAGCCTCACACTGCACTGACAGATAGTATCAATGAAGCAAGTGAGGTCTTAAAAACATTTTAAAATACCACCTGATCATACCATGAGAAAATGTGTTATACATACCTGTATACAGAAGGATACAGAAGATTGCTTGGCTATTTCCTGTCTTTTTTCAGTATTACTGTAACTCTAATATTCTCT